CACACACACACCCGGCATGAGTTTAAGCCACCAGGTCTGGGCGTATGAATTGCAGTTGACTACATGGGAGTCCAGTGACATAGCCATTATGCCAACTGCTGGTCCCCCTAAAAACTTTATTATTAATTATTATTCAGGAAATAGGAGCACTTTATGCTCAATTGAAAAGGACTGGGAGAAAAGAGAGTCAGTACAAAGAATGTCATACAATTTTTTAAAACCAGCTTTAAAGGCAAACTGTTATAAATACTGTTTTGGTGTAGAGGTTAAGGCAGCTGGATCCCATACAGGCAACTACGCTGTTTGAGTCCAGGACTCAGTTGCATGAAAATCACACCAGGCACCTGGGTGCCCGAGTGGAGGATGGAGGAGAAGGGATTTACCATCCCTGGAGAGGGAGGATGATTTCTTATTTTTCCTCCCCCAACTCCCTTATCTCTCAGGTAAGTGCACACACCCTACAGCAAAACCCTACAGCAAAAATAATATATATATATATATATATTATGGCCTAGTGGTTAAGGGAGCTGGATCCCACGTGGTTTACCTTACAGCTGGGCACCAGTACTTATGAGTCCAAAATCTCTGCAGGATGGAGAGATGAAGGAGAAGGAATTTCAGCATGACCATGTCCCATTAGGGAAGATGTTTTCTCCCTCTTCCTCACTTCCTGGTGAGGGCTAATGCCCTCTGCCCCGTTCTCTCTCTCTCTCTGTCTCTCTCTATACACACACACACACACACACACACACACAATTCTTTAAAACCAGCTTTAATGGCAAACAATTTAAAATGTTAAACAGTTAAATATATTTAGAGAGATTTTTGCTATAGGTCCTATAGCAGCTAGAGAGAGACAGAGAGACAGAAAGCGAGAAATCACCACGCCCCCCCCCCCCCCAGGGGGGCACAATCTCTCCTCCTCCACTGTCAGCTTGAGATGACCAAGCCGCAATCTCTCCTCCTCCACTGTCAGCTTGGAATCTTGAGTGCACAATCTCTCCTCCTCCACTGTCAGCTTGGAATCTTGAGTGCGCACGTGTGTGGGGCACGAGTTTTAAGCTGCCAGGTTCAGGACTTGAACCACAGTCGACCTTGTAGGAGTTCAGCAATATAACCATTATGCCATCTGCTGGTCCACACATAATGTATTTTAAAAAGTTTCTTTCATGAGAGAGACACACACACATGGCAGGGTCTTCTCACACTGCCATCCTTCCCTTCAGCTTTCCATTCAGCCATGGATCCCAGCCTGGGGGTTCAGACCCACCTGCTGTGGGAACTGGTCTTCCCACATGGCTCCGGTACTGGGCAGTAGTGTCCTATCACCTGCACCATGTAGCTGGACCCATTTTGTGTAACTTCGAATGAGCAAATGTTTAAAATATAATTGTAGACGTTTCCTTTTATTACTCTAAACGTTTTTCCCTTTCCGTGAACCTTTATTCTGATGCTCACAAGTAATTCAAATTCATCTAGGCTCGAAGTAAGGTTTTGGAAGCAATAGAGTCAGCCTTATTACTGTTTTACATGCAGTTAGATCAAAATTGCAAAGGCTGATCCTTATCATAATAAACTTGAGGGGAGGTAGGGCTGCTCTCCCAGCAGATATCCTAAAACTTTTTTTTTTCCTCCTTCATCTAGAGGACTTCAGGAACACATTAAAGGCAGTTGGTAGGCGATGCCTTAGCGACAAAAGCGAGATTTCTGTCAGCAGCTTTGAGGAAGGTAAGCTTTTAGGCTGTGCCCTCATCACGTGGCACAGATTCGCTGTGGGATTAGCGCACGCTAATCCACATGTAAACGCTCTCTATGACCCACACATGTTCGGCAATCTGATGCCATTCAGTCCTACATTATAACTCCTCCCGTTACCCTCGATGTTAGATGTGAGCAAACTCATCACATTTGTGTCTCACTCAGTTTAACTTCTTACCAGGAGACCTATCAAGGCCTGCCCCGCAGTCCCGCCCCCCCACCCGAGCAAAACTCAAAAAAAATCTAGAAATCCCCATCTCGCCGCTCCCCTTCTGTGTGCACAAGTCTCACGAACTTGACTAACTTGAGGACGAGAACAGAAAACGTCTCTCTCCAAGGGACTTGCTCATTTCGGGGCGCTCTTCTACGCTGTCCTTGGGGCAGCGCTGCCCGATGGGGGCAGGAGCAGACGCGCCCCCTAAACGTGGGGCTCATCCCCGGGGATGCCTCCCCGGGAGCCGACAAACCCGAATGTCCCTGCACAGGGCCCCGGCGGGGGAGGGGCAGGGCCAGGGGCAGCCTCCGGCCTTTCCACGTCTCTCAGCGCCACCCCCCTTCCCCGACCCTAAACTGGCCGGCGGGAGAGGGGCCAGGGGCTGGGTGGGCCGGGGGCCCCGCCCCTGTGGCCCGGGC